AGGACAATACAAATACAGAAGAAGACTGCACTGTTGGTGCGGTGGCTGGGCAACCGGCTGCCGAGCAACGTGTCGCGGCTTCGATTCCCGCACGGAACAACACTTTGTGTGATCCACAAATTGTTGTTCCGGGTCTGGGTGTGATGTGTAGGTGAACTTGTATGTTTGTAAACGCACCCACGACACAGGAGAAAATCCTAGTGTGGGGAAAAGTTTAAAAAAAAAAAGAATCATAAATGGAGGTTTATGTGTCCTTAACCACCGAAAGCTTTGACCGTACTCCCGCTACTGGTCGGCTCCTATTATAATATCTATACAATTACACATAATACATATTATATATTTATACCAGACCATTTAGCAGTAAAATAAAAAAAGGTACTATCTCTTTGAATTTGTCTTTAAAGTTTTTGTTTATTAGCCACTTTGTTGAAATTTATATTTTGTCATCTAGGTAATTTATTTTCTGTATGAAAAAATGATTAAATATTCATATAAAGACATTTTTAACATTATTTATATAAAATCAATTTATAAAATATTATTGCAGTTGCAATACTGCCCTTCCTATCAAAAAAATTAACTAAATCGATTTGATCATTTCAAAATAACTGTCGAAAATAGAAACGATCCTTCTTTTATTAGTCGATTCTAATAAATAGTACATTAAAGCGTAGGTAAGTTCAATCTATACTAATATTATAAAGAGGAAAGATTTGTACCTATTTTTGTATGTTTGTATGTTTGTAATGAATAGGCTCAAAAAGTACAGGGCCGATTTAAAAAAAATTTTCACCAATATAATGCTACATTCTTCCAATTTGACATAGGCTACAATTCGTTTTGAAAAAAGTTATGCATCCTTGGTAAATTTTGAACAATGTAACCGAAGGTGTAGAAAAAAGAGTCTTTAAAATATCTTTCGTCGAATGCGCTGCCGAAACAATTAGCGATAGAACAAAATAATGTACAACAATATTGAAGAACATCATAATGTCTACAAAAACTCCGCGGTAGCATAATATGTCCAACTATGTTATGTCACAACAACAATCCAAATTTCCAAAAATAAATAATTGTCTACCCCATGCGAAGCCGGGACGGGCTGCTAGTGTATAATAAAATTATTATTTTATTTTTAATTTACAAGCAAGTGAGATTTTTTGTCAATTTTTCCCGCTTTATGAGATTCAGCATGCAGGGAATATTGAAAAATAAATTGGCAACACTGATAAAAAATGGTGACATTAGTTAATTAGTTAGGTTAGGGTTAAACACATAAATTAATGTAATTTTTTATTACTTAGCGATGGATAAGTGATCTGTTTAGTACCTACTTTTGAGCCGTCATTTATAATTTTAGCACAAATTTATGAAGTATGTGGCCATCTTTGCAATGTAAACATTTTGTAGCGTACATACACGTAGTGACGCCTAGGTGACACAATTGGTACTATTTGACGGGAAAATGCATTGCAGTGAATAGTTCACTGCAAACTTTTCGACCGGTTTTCGTTAACTGACACTCCATCTAGACATTATTATTAGACATTATGTATAATCAAAAGATACAATACCAAAATAACGTTTTTTACAATTTTTGTCTATCCGTCTGTCTGTTTGTAATGGCTAATCTCTGGAATGGCTGGACCGATTTTGCAAGACTTTATTTGGCAAGTAGCTGATGTACTAAGGAATAATATAGGCTACTTTTATTTTGGAAAAAGTTATATGTTCCAAAATTCTTATTCTACGCGGACGATGTCGCGGGCAACTACTACTTTTTAAAAGTATGTTTTATTTTAGAATTTAAAAATTTAATTTTAGAGAATTCTAATTAAATATCTGTATGTTATAATAACGAATATAACTTTTAGTGGGCTTCGTTTTATGCGCAAGCGGAATTTATTCGTCTAAACAGAATACAAGAAGGTGGACGGACAGAGCAGTTTATTCGTTTACAACTACGCATCGGCCACTTATCGCTCGGTGGAGAACAACAACGCCTAGACCAAAATGGGTTTATAGTTACTTCTTATTCGACGATGATTATCCTTTATTTGGCCCAAGGCCTTTTAAATTTCCCCATCCAGTAGCTCAAGCCTCGGAGATTCTATGGTCACAGTTGATACCACTAACCAAAAATATGGTGTTTGGAGCAAAGGACTTCAGCATAATTCGTGGCATAGATTATGTAAATAATCCGCCAAAGTATACGACGACGACTAAGTCATATGGAAGGTAATAATTCACCAAGGACGTTGAAAAAAAGATGGACGTGGTGTCACTTAGAAATGATTGAAGCAGCAAAATGTCGATGAGTTACATTTGTGTGCGTGTGTAACCGGTTACATGGTTACCACGTTACCAGACTTAAGAAAATGAGAAACATCCTTCGTGTCAATGAGTGTATGCTCTGCATGTATGTCTATAGTAACCAGGTCGTTGTTTCAAGAGATTGTATCCGCCATTTTTCTACGTCCTCGATATTCACCCCGAAATTAATTGGTCACCAATTTATTAGTAGATATAATTTTTAACTGAATTACAAAACAAACCTTAAAAACAAACTTTTATTTTATGTACCTATGTGTCCGTGTCCCACCTTCCTTAATATCCTGTGTCCCCTAGATGGGGCGGAGGGCGTCCACTGAAGTTCTCCATCGCAATCTGTCTTGAGCTTCACGGTTTACCTCACTCCACGTCAAACCGATGATCGTCGCTTCTGCTTCGTGGTTTGCCGAGGACGGCCACGCTTTCTTTTCCCTTGGGGATTCCAATCCAAGGCTTGCTTGGGTATGTGGTCAGGATCCCTTCGGAGCGTGTGTCCTATCCATCCCCACTTGCGGCGCTTGATCTGGCAGTCGATTGGGCTTTCGTGGCGTTTCTCCAAAAGCTCTAGGTTGGAGATGGTCTCGGGCCAGTAAATTCCGAGAATGCGACGCAGGCATCAGTTAACGAAGACTTGAAGTTGCCGTGAGATGTCTTTAGTCACCTTCCACGTTTCATACCCATAGAGCAGAACGGATTTTACCTTTCAGTTCTATCCTTCGGGTCAGTTTCCGTGACTGCCACACAGGTCTCAGCTGCGAGTAACTCGGGCTTTGGCGATCCTTGAAGTTATGTCCTCTTCAGAACCTCCAGTCTCTGACACCACGCTCCCGAGGTAAGAAAATTTGTGGACACGTTCCACTGCCTCTGTGCCAATCAGCAACGATGTAGTACCTATTCTTCACACCCGTTCTAATTCTTCCCGTTATAAAGACCAAAGGGTCTTTCGGGTGTTAATTTTTAGGCCACCTTTTGCCGCCTCCTGCCGCAGGTCGTCCAATTTTGCTTGCATGTCGGTGTGGGTATGACTCAGCAAGCATAGGTCATCGGCGTAATCAAAATCTTCCAAGAAGTTGGATAATCCCCACTCTATGCCGCGGCGCCGATGTCAGTGGTGCGAAGCATGATCACATCCAGAACGACCAAGAAGAGAAGCGGTGATAAGAGGCAGCCTTGTCGGATACCCGCGTGTACCACTATGTCATCGGAGATAAGACCGTCATGTGTCACTTTACAGCAATACGTCCTATACATACTCTCCAACAGCCGAACGATCTTTGGCGGAACTCCCATGTCCAGTAGACGGGACCAGATGTTAGACCACTTCAATGAATCAAAGGCCTTTTCGAAGTTGACAAAGGTAAGATAAATCTCCCATTGCCATTCTGTTGCCTGCTCCAGAATGATACGAAGAGTGTTGATCTGGTCTGTACATGAACGGTTTGATCGGAAATCTACCTGCTCCCTTCGTAAAAAAGGATCCACGGCCTTTGACAGCCTATCCAAGAGAATCTTGCAGAAAACTTGCGGGAATAGAGAGCTGTGTAATTCCTCTCCAGTTATCGCACAGACTAAGATCTCCTTTCTTAGGTACTGTGATTATAAGCCCCTTGTTCCAGTCATCAGGAAATTCCTCCAGCGTCCAGACTTCTTAAAAAAGAGGCGTCAGGACGTCGAAAGCGGAGGATAAGTCGGCTGGAAGCATTTCCGCGGTTATCAAGTCGAGTCCTGGTGCTTTAGCTAATTTCAAGGAGCGTATGGCTTGAGCAACCTCACTAGCTGATGGAGTCTCCGTGTTGATGTCCAGTAGCCGAGGTGGTGTGGAATTGACAGCTAGTGCACCAGGTGTCGCTGTGGCCGACATGCGAAAGACGTCCTCAGACGACCTATGTTTCGCAGTAAGATAAATACCCAAAGCCGTAATATAGTTATATCCCTTGGGATATATTTGTTTTTTGCGTAAGAATTACTTAGAATTAGAATTACGAACTTAGGATTCCATAGTAAGAGCACTACACATACTACTGATTTAATGTTTAGATTACTTAACTTTTTTTGACCCTGGTAAAATACTCTATGTATCAAATCCTCCAGTGGGGCGACGGGAGGGATATGTGGGACACTCCGGGAGAAGCCCGGCTAAAAACCCAGGAGCACACCAGCGTCGCCATGTGAGGGGGTCTGGGAGACCGGATGAACCTTTACGACCAGGACCCCCTCGGCTAAGCCTGCCAGAGATGGCGAGCCATATCACGCCCCTCCCTGTCTCGGGGAGGGGTCTCGGGAACGGTCGTGTGCCAACCGCTCCCGTCCCGCGAAAGGTGAGTAGTGCAATGCGGATGTAGGCGCCCCCGCGCCTAGCACCCGCTACTCACCCCCAGGAGGGAGAAGGCGGTTATATTGCCGTCTTCTGATGAGCCTGGCAGTAGTGATGATTCCCTGACTCTGGCTCACGCGTTTGACCGGTCAAATCCGGAAGATTCAGTCGCACCAAACCTTAAAAAAAAAAAAAAAAAAAAAAAAAAAAAAAAAAAAAAAAAAAAAAAAAAAAAAGTTTTTTTTTTTTTTTTTTTTTTTTTTTTTTTTTTTTTTTTTTTTTAAGGTTTGGTGCGACTGAATCTTCCGGATTTGACCGGTCAAACGCGTGAGCCAGAGTCAGGGAATCATCACTACTCCTGGCGCTCTCCTCGCGCCCTCCGGTCCACCGTCCACTCATACACTCTGGCGAGCACCCACGCTTCGAGCTCCCAAGGTGGAGTGCTTGCCAGTGCGCACGCCGCCGTGCGGTAAGCCCGCGCCACCCGTTGAGCGATAGCCCTTTGGGGCACGCGAAGGGCGGTGGCGTTCTCCCTCCTGCGCAGGTAGTCCGCCCAAACTGGAGCCCCATAAAGGGCCATGCTTCGGAGTATGCCGGCATATAGTCGCCGGCATCGCGCGCTTGGCCCTCCCAGATTTGGTATGAGCCATGAGAGGTCGTTTGCCGTCTTTAGCAGGGGCTTGGACAGATCGGCGAAGTGCGGGCCGAAGCGCCACCTGCTGTCCAGGATGAGGCCCAGATATTTCATCTGGCCCTCCACTGCGATCCTCTCGCCGTCCACATATATATGCCCATATCAGGAGGAGGGTTTCGCCTCGGGCCGTAGAAAAAGACCGCTTCGGTCTTGTGCAGCGCCACTGTCAGCCCCAAACAGCGGGTCCTGTCGGCAACCAAGGAGCCACCCGCCGACGCCAGGCTGGCCGCCGTCGTGAAAATCCCGCGAGCAGTGAGGAGAGTGTCGTCTGCGTAACAGATGACACACGTCCTGTGAAGGAGCGTGCCCCGCAGGAGCCAGTCGAAGCCGACGTTCCATAGGAGGGGTCCTAACACCGACCCCTGGGGAACGCCGGTCTCCACGGCGTAGCGCCGAACTTCCCCGTCTCGATCTACAAGGAGGACGGACCTGTCCTCCAAGTAGTTGGCCAGGAGTACCTGAAGGTATTGAGGCACTCCGTGGAATCGGAGCGACTCTAGGATAGTGGAATGGGGGACAGAGTTAAATGCGTCAGCAATGTCGAATGACACAGACAACAATCCTTCCCCATCTTCTACGGCCTCCTGAACCTGGCCCTTGAGACGGTTTTTTTTTTAATATTACATTTCTTGTTCTCCACGGACTCTTGTCCGTGCCCTTGTCATTCCATTACATTTTCTTTTAATTTACAGTCAAAATTAATTGTTACAAAAATCTTACGTGCTACATTAACCACTTTTTTTCACAAAAAAGTTTGTGTCTAATATCTATATATACACAATACAAGTTTTATTACATTTACCTTACTGGATCGGCCCACACGCGCGATGAGCGAGCCGACCTGCTCCAGCAGAAGGCGCCCGTTCACGAGCATGACGTGAGGGCCAGCAATCGGTCCGATCAACCATTTCGTAGGGAACGGAGCGACCCAGCCCACAGCGCCACCGACTGTAGAACATTTAAGAATGCATGACGTCTGCTCGGTATTTAAATAGTTGTTTTTAGTTTTCTTTAAATTAATTTTAATCTTAAGTTATATATATTTAATTTAGTAATAGTTAGTTTTAATTTTATGTAAGTTATTATTCGGTACCATCAATACATAGTATAAAACAAAGTCGCTTTCGCTGTATGTCCGTATGTATGCTTAGATCTTTAAAACTACGCAACGGATTTTGATGCGGTTTTTTTTAATAGATAGAGTGATTCTTAAGGAAGGTTTGTATGTATAATACATGCATATTGCAGGCGGGTCGCTAGTAATAAATAAAAGTAAAATTAAAAAAAAAACAAACTAAATTAAGACAATTTGGAGCCTGTTTGTTGATATCAAACAATCGAATTCTAAGAAAACTTGGTTTTATTGGTTTACTTGGATTTAATTCTTGAAAAAATGATTGATATCTTTGGTTTTGCAACAAACATTAGCAAGCCATAGAAGAGGAATAGGAGATGATCGATCAAAATTTCATAGAGCGGTTGATAAACTATATACGTTACCTAATCGTATGAGAACTGTGGTTGATGCCCATGGAGACAACACGCGTTATTAAATTAAACCTTATAAAACATGTTTTATTTTTTCTTCAAAAATCAATTGCCTTTAACAAGGCGCATATCCGATTTGTTAGGCGTAGCTCCGTCGTATGGTATTCTGAATTCAAATTAAAAACAATACGATGGAAAAAAATGGGTAAAATCAGGTTTAAAACTGCATCAACAGTTTTTGTTCAATCTAGTAATCATATTTAGGTAGGGGCCATCTAACCTAAGGCCAATAGATGTGGCCAGAAGTGTGTACATCATTAAAGATTTTATGCATTGTAATTTTAAAATTACCTTACCTATATCGATTTAAAACAAAATCTAATTCATTTACCAATCCATCTGTTTAGTACTTACCTAATAATTATGAAAATCTAAGTTTAGATAATGATCTAAATAAATATTAAATCATTATTTACGGAATACAGTTTGAATTCACTTAAATAAAATAAAAGTTGTGCACTCCTACTTCTGTGAACCCCATTTTTCAAATGTAGAAGTGAATGGACTAGCCCTTCATAAGCCATCTAACCTATTAAAGGCTTTACGTAAACATAATTAAAACACATAGTTCACAAATATAAATTTATCCAGTACTGGCATATAATTGAAAATATAATATCAATGTTTACATCTGTTAAACTTGTCGGTTAATGCTTGGGGCACTTTGTCTTCCTCAGATAACCCTTGCCAGATGGCACAGGCACTATAGTCACACCTTGAGGGAACACTTTAGCTATCTGATCTTCTGGGACAGTAGGCAACACCATGCAGTCCTCACCCATCTGCAAACCATGTACAAAAAATTACTAAACGATCGTTTTCATGCTTATACTCACCACTAGGTGAGGTAGGATGGTTACTAAACCGTATAGCCCTGATTTTTTTTATATTGGAGACAGCCACATCCATAAGAAACTACCCTTATATTAAAAACATCCCAACATGTGACCTCTGGGTGGTGCGAATCGGGTGACACCATAGTGGTAAGTTTCGGCCGACAGCCTTATGACCACCCATCGAGCAAAAACGTATCGCCAAGCGCACGAGGGTAGCGGGATCCGAGACTTACATGGTGGAAGCGTTTCGCATCAGGTTTCTTTATGCGGAACCGCTAAGGAACGGAATTCCTTACCAGAATCTGTGTTTCCTAAGAAATACAACTTGGGTGTCTAAGTCTCCAGTGAACAAGTTACTCAAAGGTAGGCGTGCTCCATCGTCGGCCACATCATCGCTTACCACCACTAGGCGAGATGGTGGCCAAACGTCAATACAATTATATTTATTATGATTGTCACCAAACGTACAGCCATATATTACGCCAAGTTATAAGCTTAAGTACTTTTTAAGGGGGGATATTGTCCAATGACTCCTCCCACCTTCGAGGAGGCGTGAGGGAGTGTCAATCTCTTACTGACACCACCCCATTCCTACTCTTGCTTCTCAGCACCCGTTAAGTCCTACGCGGCTCCGTATCGGGCATCTACCCTACTGGGCCCCATCTGTGGTGGTCTGATGGCTCAGCCCATGCAGGGCACACCGCCACTGTAGGCTCTACCGTGTCCATCGTTCTATACTTATCGACACACGTAAATGTCCTCTCTTGAACCAAGTTATGAACTCTTACTGCGAACTACTTGTAAACGGAAACTTTTTACGTTGACCCGTAAACGTTAAGCGTCTTGTCATTGTGAATATCGTAGTAAGGGTACCGTAACATTGGATATTTCGAAATCGTAAAATTTGTGGCCGAGCCTTTGATAATTCCTATAAACCTTCTATTTAATAAAATAAAAAAGAATACCTTCCAGTCCACAGGTGTAGCAACTTTAGCGGTGTCCGTCAGCTGCAAGGAATCCAAGACACGCAGTATCTCACTGAAATGGAAATGAATACGTTGAAAAATTAACGTAGTTTATTGTAAAAACTAGTACTTAATACAAGTTAGCGAAGGGTTTCAAAATACCACACTACTCAATAATTCACTGGCCAATTTATTTTTGAGTTTATAAATAACTACCTAGCTACATCCGCGCGGTTTCAATCGCTCTGGTCCTATTAATCGCAACGTGATGTTTTATAGCCTATAGCCTTCCTCGATAAATGGACTATCTAACACAATAGTTATTCAAATCGAACCAGTAGTTCCGGAGATTAGCGCGTTCAAAAAAACAACAAACGTATGTATGTTTGTAGTTTGTTTGGCTCTCTCTGGCTCCGTATAAAATTATTAAACAGACCTAGTGTTTAATAAAATTCCTGTTTGTATTCAGTTGTTTTCTGATTTACTATGACTACCGCCGATGACACAATATCCTATTGTTAGAGTTAGGTTTATAGATTGGCCGGTCTTATGTTATCACATTTCGATAATATTTATCTTTAAAGACGTTTATATTATTGGACAATGGTTTATCGCATTGTCAACCAAAGAACGAAGCGTATTGACAAAATGACTTCACAACAAGTTTAAACACAGAGTTGAAAGAGTAAAAACACTTGATTAAATATTGTTACAGTAGGTAGGTCTTAGATCCGCTTAGTCATTACTCGCATATGCATGAGGAAATTGATCCTGTATTATAATATTTTCTCGCATACCTAATAATGGGTCTAAAAATTGGTACAAATTTACTTCGATACATGGATATGATATGCACTTACTCGAAGTTTCGGCCAGTAGTCGCTGGATAAAGGAACGAAAGCCGGAACTTTTTGAGAGGGTCGATAATGAAGGCAGCACGTGCAGTGAGTGGCATTCCCGCAGTATCTAGTTCATCCTTATCCACCATGCAGAGCATTTTTGCGATCTCTCTGTTTTTGTCCTCGATAATAGGATAAGGAAACTTCTCATCTTCATTGCATCCTATAAATTGTTATAAAAAAAATATATAATCCTCATGTAATAACTTGCGCAACACAACTAAATTTTATTTATTAAAAAAAAAACAAATCAGGGAATAGTAGTATAAAATGATCACGCTGAGAGAAAAAAGTAGCATAGCTGTGAAAATATCAAACGGGATATTATTATTATTCCACATATTTATAATAATCTAATACTATCCGGTGTGTGTCCATTACATTTAGATTAAAGTTGTCTAAAGAGCTCTACGCAGTTGGCTTAGGGCCCTCATACGCGTCCCAAACGACCGGGAGCCTGTGGTCCCGTGAATGGTAAAAACAAACTACTATTAGGTACTTATTATTAAAAAAAACAATAATATTTACAAACATACTTAAAAATAGGGGTGGACCAGTAGCTAGAGCATGGTACAAAGTACACAAATTAATAATACAATTATCGGGACCATAATCTATACCCAAGTCCACTTTCCATGTGTCGACACTGTCATTTATTTATTTATTTATAAGCACATGTATAATTTTACAGCACAAGCCAAAAAATTATACAGTTAAGCAATAAAAAATGTTACTTATTTACTATTTTACACTTATGCAATAGGTATCTTATATAAAAAAGTTCAATAATTATAAGTAATAAGTAA